AGAAACTGGACAGTCACTAGAGTCACAGTCACTAGAGATGGTATAGGTCCTCCTGTTTGATCCGGGGGCTCTACTAGAAGACCTCCAAGGTCCCTTCCAGCTCTATTCTGATTCTGATTGGTTGAGGCAAGAAGGAACCTGCCCCCTCCTGCCCCAGGGCGTGCCTTCCCTTATTCCCAAGCCCCAGCTGAGCTCTTGCTCCCTCCTTTCCAGGCACTTGAACCTGAGCGTGCGGCCTAAGGCCTTGTCTGCGTTGGTGAGGAGCGGCGTCCCCGAAGCTCTGCGGGGCGAGGTGTGGCAGCTCCTGGCAGGATGCCACAACAACGATTTCCTGGTGGAGAAGTACCGGATTCTCATCACAAAGGTAGGTTTGTTTACGATCGGCGGTGCTGAGGAGAAGAGGCTCCCACAGTGGGCCGTGGCTTGGCTTCTTGGGTTGGTGGGCATGTGGAACCGCTTGGAGAGAGTGAGGATGTTGTAGTCTGCTGGTAGCCTGTGGAGACGGCAGCGGAGTCGGCCATTGGGGGGTGAACATGGGCCGGTCTGGGGAGGACTCAGACAAGGGTCCTGCGTCCGATGCAGAGATGGGGCCAGGACCATCTGGGAGTTGCCTGCTGACTCCGGAGCCTCCAGAATCTGACAGCAGTGAGGCAGAGGAACGAAGGGAGCCTGTTCCCAGTGAGCGCTTGCACAGAGCTGCCAGAAGGCAAGAACAGTTAAGACAAAAGGGCGACTCATGAGTAAGGCTTGGAGGTGATTGGCCCTCCCATAAGACACAAAGGAGGAGCAAAGGGACAGGAGCCTTTGCAGGAAGCAACTTTGTTCGCTCTGTTCAGATTAAACCTTGAAGCTCGGTGTGGACTTTGTGCTCCGTTTGGCTTTTTACCGATAATTTGGCACTTTAGCTGTTGGCAGCAATTCAAAGGAGTGAAAGGTGGGTGCTTATCTCGAGGGATTGTTTGGGGACTCATTACCGGCTGGGAATGAAGATAATTCCCAGCTGTTGAAATAAAAAGAGGGTTGTTTGGACTAAGTGCGTGATTATGGTCTCAGGAAGTCTTGGTCGGAACAGAGGAAACCGGTCCTGGGATCGAACCTCAACCAGGCACCAGGTTGACTCAGCCTTCCATCCTTCCAAGATCGTTAAAATGAGGACCCAGATTGTTGGGGGTAATAGGCTGATTCCATAAACCGCTCAGAGAGGGCCATAAAGCACGGTGAAACGGTATATAAGTAAGCGCTAGTCCTGTTGCCATAAGATGGAGTCTGCATCCAAGATAGCCAAAACAATTGGACGGATAGGTGAAGGGTGTCAAATCTGCCCTGTCGGAGTGTGTGACATTTGGAAGAAGCACATGTCAGGGGTCCCCAAGCCCTGGTCCATGGACCAGCACTGGGTTGCGGCATGACAGAAACCAGTCCGTGCAAGCAAGCGAAGCGCGTCCGTGAGATACAGGCGATGCCCAAAACTGTGCCCCATCCGGTCTGCGGAAAAATCTCTCCATAGAACTGGTCCCTAGTGCCCAAAAGGTTGGGGGCCACTGTCTCAGGTCGCGTGTGTGTTTGTGTTTTGAACAATCACATCAGTAGTGGTGGTATTCAAATAAAAGTCGCCACCAGTTCGGTGGGCGTGGCTTGTTGGCTGCGCTTTGCGCGCATGCACGCACTTTGCATGCACGCGCGCACCAAACGCACTTTGCGCAGGCGCAGAGGCATTCTGACTTGCCCCCTGCAAGCCTGCACGATGCTGGTCGCTGCAGCAGCTGCCGCGCGGTGCTATTCTGCGCCGCGCAAAGCAGCTGCACTTTGAATTCTGGCCGTAAAAGTGAGTACGGGAGCCCGAGTGGGCCAAACAAAGAGAAGCGAAGAGAACCAGTTCGGTCTCCACTGCTCATCGCCGCTACCGGCTCTCCGGAACTGGGCAGAACTGGTCGAATACCACCACTGAATCACATGCCTGCTTTTTTTCCCCACAATGTGATGTTTCAAACTTAGGGGCGCAGTTATCGGGAGAGACACCAGTCTCTTCACACCCCTAAGCAGCTTTTATATCCTACATAACCAAGCAGGAATCTGGTCCAGTTTTGGGGAGAAAATTCCCGCAGATTCCCCGGCATCCAAGCTGCGTTGAAAGTCTGCTGCCGGCGAACCACAACAATTTGGCAGCTTTAAGACTGATGGACTTCAACTCCCAGAATTCCTGAGCTAACATGACTGGAGGAGGAATCCTGGGAGTTGAAGTCCCCCTGATGCAGACCATAACATCACCCCAAGTCGGGAGCGTCCTCAGAAAAATTCTATGCCCCAGATGCCCCTCTGGATGGGGGGGTGGGGGGAAGCTGATGGACAACCCAGTACACCTGGTCCTCACCTTATGACCACAATGGAGCCCGAAAATTCTGTTGTTCAGTGAGACAGTTGTTGAGTTTTGCCTCATTCTACGATCTTCCCAGCCACCGTTGTTAAGTCACT